TAGTATATGAATTTGTTGACAAAGTGATAATGAATCATAATATGATATTATATACGGGGTGTTCCATTTGAAAAATCAAAGAAGCCGCTACTTTATAGTAGAAGCGACAACGCCGCTTCGTCTAAAATATTTTAGGCGTGTAGGTCATATTGACTTATGCATACTGTGGAATTTTCAGGTTGATCCGTTGAATAGTTTGCCAGAAACGGCTAATTAACTCTCATCATGAAAAGCCCTGTATATCTCAGTTGTGACTACCATGAATAAAACAGTTCAAATGTTATTTATTCACATTTTTCGGACAAGAATAATAGAAAAAAGTGGTTCCATGCGGAAAAACAGTGATCTGACATCATTTTGTGTAAAAAATGATGATCTCCAGCAGAGTAAAAAATATTGTTTGCTGCAAGAAACTATTGTTTAACGGAAAATTCAAACAATTTGCGATGATAAATTCACTTCAAATTATGGGAAAACTGTTGGATAGTGTTGAAAAATGTTGAGAAATGAGAATAAATGAAATAATATGCAACCCATATAACGGTATGATCAATTGAGAGTTGAATATATATCTATCTATAAATGATAAATCAAAATTGATATTAGATATTCATTGCGTGAATTATCTTTTGCACATATTCTTCTTCAGTTTCACAATATCTGAATTTGAATAATGAGATTGCAGGTGTTATCAAATCTAAACGTGTAGGTAATTTCATCAATAAATACAAACAATGATGAAATGTAATAATTGAAAACTCATTTTATTCATATAGCATATTCGATTTCGGCAACTGATAGATATAATAGGGGAGCCCAAGCGGGGATTTCGGGATTTACTAAATCACGGCAGATTAATATACAGGGGGATACCTTGTACCCGGTTAAGTACCTCCACCAAATATGAGCCCCATATATAAGGCCGCCTGTGAGGGATAAAGGATCAGATTAGTAAAAAAAATTGATCATCAGAGANTTTGCATCGTGGGCTCCCCTGCTAATATGAACGATTCTGATTTCAGTAAAAAGAGCTAAATGTTTATTTCGAAAGGGTGGATACAAACTACTAACGAATTACAAAGTTTGAATAAAAAGGTCGATTCTCCACTTTATCATTTCGGATGGTAGCTCAAACCATATTTTAAATAAAATATCTAGAATTACATACCTTTCTTTGCTAGATATACCAAATCCATTCAATAACTAGAATGGTATACTTAAAGGCAAAGGTATTATTTCAATGAAAAGTGTTACTTATCTGAATTGTGAAGGAAAAAACTTGCCAAAGAACGTTTCTCACTTAACACATTCTTCAAACTAAACACAGCATGGATTTTAAAAACTATAGAAAATTATAAAAGAAGACTGTTCTGGCAATGGCTGAGAAATGACATACGCTGTCTGTTAAAAAAAATGGTGGATTTTAATTTTTCTCAGAATATATTATTTATTTATTCATCAAATTCTATTTTGTTCCCTTCAAAGTAGTCCCCGTCAGATAATATACTCTTGTGTCAGCGTTTTTTCCAATCATGGAAGCAGTTCTGATATACACTTTTTGGTATGTCATTCGGCTGTCAGCATTATCGTGATGCAAAAACCATAAATTGTCTTTCCACAATACCGGAAGTTTCGGTCGTATTGCTTCTCGCAAGCGGCGCATAGCTCCAAGATAATACTCCTTATTGACCGTGCGACCATGTGGCAAGAACTCGTGATGTACTCGGTACGCCACGGTGATCGAAAAAAAAAACAGCAAAACCTTGACATTTGATCTAACTTGTCGTCCTTTGTTTTGGACTTTGAATCTGATGTCATAATCATATACTCATGATTCATCACCAGTTATATAGCTGCACGAGTTCTGAGTTCTACGCCATTCCTTATGGAAAAACACGTGTGAATTCAAGCAGGTCCATTTTGATGATTTTACAACCTCAGGCCCAAATCACACGGAAGGGACAAAGGTCATCGCCTCGTCTTTGCCAGGTCTTCATTATATGTGAACTGAACCTTAGATTTTCAGAGCTCACTCCTCCACTTTTGCCGTCATACAGTCAACCAATCACAAACTACCGCGCGTACAGCGGGAAATTCAAATTAGTTGATGAGCAAACGTGTTCCGAGTCAAAATCCCATTTATTTTCTTTTGGGCTGAACTTTTTGCAATTCTCATGACATCCGATCGGAACCTTGTGGAATACTCAACTCGAGGTAGGTGTGTTTCGGAGTGGGAGTATGAGAGAGAAACGCGTGATGTAATCGATGCAGAGAAGGATGGAATTAGTATCGAAGAGATTTAAAGAGCATAGCCCCCCTTGGGACACAGCCTCACCCCTCGGACCTCCTTGTCACGTACCAGTCACTTGATCATCGGTAGCTGAGGTAAACTCAATTAAAGAAAGCGATCGATATGAGAATCGAACTCGGGTCGTCGGCGTGATAGATAGAAGTTTATTGATCAGACACCAATTAAACATTGGACTGACAAGTCGTAATACCATGGTTACATTTTGCTTATTGCCAAAATAAAGTATATGAATTATTAATGTCCGTAAAATATAAAAATACTTATATAAAACTATACAATGTTCAGAGAGTAGAAGGAAATCTGGCTTATGCTCTCCTAGGAATGAATCTATGATATTCAGTTCATTATTCAAGCATTATTTATGTATAATTTTTTAAAAGTGATTGAAATCTGGAAAAACCTGCTCGTATTTTCTTGTATCCGGTTCTGCTGACAGGCTTCTCGCTGAAAACTTATATTCTTCTGGAATCTGTACCTGTTTACCAGTGTACCTTCGGGCCATATTTCGGGGTTATATACTTCTTGGACGTAAGCAATCGGAAATGTTACAAACATGGAGTGTTTTTTCATTTTTATGCAAAGGGTCACATTTGAAGGGTATATCTGGAACAGTTTCTTCAAGAACTCCCAGTAAGTTGCTTGGTGTGGTTTCTGGGGACTGTTTGTACACATAAAAGTAACCTAGTTTAGGGACTGATTTCACTATGATAACGTTCTTGTTTCATCCTATATCAGGTTTTCTGAGGGGGCGCCGTGTCGGTGAGTAATGGTTGATTTGTTTGTTTTGTATTTCTTCTAGTGTTTTTTTTGTAGCGTTTTGTCACTTCATTGAGCCCAACTATATGATTGTTTTTATCCAAGTTGTTTCCTGGGTCTGGGTTTTTTGTTTGGGAATACTTTTTGTGGGAAACTGACTGACAGTCTGATTGATCGCCTATTTGTTCAGAATGTGAAACAGATAACACTCTTGTCTTCAGTACAGGTTTGGGATCTGTCTTTGAGTTAGAGGCGACATTTGCAAAAGTAGGTTCACAGGTTTTGTTTGGGCTACTACCTTTGGCACTTCTCTTGGTACTGCATCTGGGTTCATCAGCTTTTCTTCTTTCAAGAGGTTCATGATGTATTCCAGGTCATTAATTCGCTTACCCAGTAAACACATGTTTTCTTCTAGGAATATGTATTCGTTGTTCACTCCCTTCAGATTACAATACCTTTTAACACATTTCTGTTCATCACATTCAATGTCGTCACTGCTTACATTTCTATTACAAGAACTAGCTAATACTTTGTTATTTAATATCATATTATTACACGATCTTTGAGGAACTTGCATAGTACTTCATTGGTAACAGTTTCTGGTAATTTATCACTTATACCAGCGTGTTTCCTACGGTAAACATACCATTCGGTTAGTACGAGCTGGAGATGATAGCAACTGTTTCAAAACAGAAGAAACTCATGCTGCACTAACACTGAAAACGAAAGCAAAATTGGGAATTGAAAATATTCAACTGAAAGTTGAACGAATCTTTTCGCATAATCAAATTATATTGCAACTTTTGAAAGCTATCCAACCTGACACTCCCATTCTCATACCGTTAGGAAAATAAGAACTTCATATGCTGCCTGCCCTCACACAAGGCCCAAAAAAT